GCTTTGCATCCCTCTTGGAAGCATTCATTCATTGCTCGAAGGTTCTTGAGGACTAGGTTGTTTTCGTCCACTAATTCCAACAACGCAGGGTGTAGTCAAAAACTTATGAGCCTGAGACCTGACGACCTGACGCCCTCCCAGACCGTCCATACATTGACAATAAGCTGAGGATCAATCACGAGCCCCAGGTCCTCCATCTCTTTCGTGACACGGGTATTCCATACGCACAACAGACAAGATTCAGAACGCGAACAAAAAAGACCCACCCAAAGTGCTCCTTGCTTACGACCGGTGCAGCGTCCAGGCACATGCATGATAAAATGATGTAATTGATGTCGGTGACAGTGCATCACGTAAGCAACACTGAAATAGAAATTTGAATTGGTGTCCTGGCAGAACTTCGTTCAGTAAGGTGGCCGCCTGGCCTCTTCACGCGGTGCGAATGATATTGTCCCACAGTGCTTGGTTTGATATGTGGGGAATGCGGCAGCGGTCACAGCGTCCTGAACATTTGTCAATCGTCCTTCATCGAATAAGCATACAGTTGCAATTGGTTCGCTTTTCAAGTTGACGTTCTTTTCTCATTCCTTTTTCCAGGCAAGACCATCCTCCCTTCGTCATCAGCTCAATTGGATGAATTATTCGGTTCTTCTTGGCGTGCCATCTTCAGTGGTTTTGACGTTGTTCGCATTACCATACGAAATACACATCTTGCCTTGGTGTGCTGACTACTGAGTTGTACGATACAAGTCAAACTACTCTGAGACTTGTACCCCCCCTTTGATCTCGGCTGGCCACTTTCACCGAGGTGTCCTCCCTCTCAGCTGAACTCTATCAACATTCCCCATATCTTTGCCCCCGTCCTCCCTTCTCACTAATTCCGTGGCCCATCCAGTCCATCCTCGATCCTCATCAATTTGCACTATCCACCATGATGCCTGGTAGCTCAGATAGCCGATATATCAGACTGGAAGGTGAGTCCCTCCGGACCACCTTCGTATCTGTTATCATCCTCACACAATATCTACAGTCATCAGCGGAAATAATCTTCAAGTCCCCTCCTGCCGCATTCCTGCTGGCATCTACATATCCATCAATGTCGACTCCAGGAGGCGCTGGAAATCACCCATCAGTGTCTTATCATCTGACAGATCTGTAGCTTGGGGGAATACTGTCACTCTGTACTAAAGTCCATAAATACTTTCTGACGCGATGCGAGAACTGATTATCGGTTTATAGACCATCACACTCTTCACCTGCGTTGTCAGTGGAGATCAGGGCGTCCTTTGAGCTTGGTCGAATGCTAGGCGGTGGAGAGGTCATCGGCGAACTTCAAATGTCGTGGGATGAGCTACTTGATCATGGAGATGAGCCATTTGGTGAGTGGTTCGCTTCTCATTTATGCACATACACTAACGTCTTGTAGATATATCCTTCCCACTCGTGTTCGGTGTCCACCCTTTCCTTAAGCTGAAGGTCGCCATTGTGCATGCTTGCGACGATCAGGACGAGGCACTGATTGATGTGAGTGACGCTGGTATCTGTCCTGTTAGCTTTTGCTGACAGAACGCAAACTGCAGTCCCTCGTAGACTGCGAGATTGCTCGAGACACAGATGCGGGCCACGCACAATTTGCCGCATACGCGACAAGCAAGACAGTCTCTCACTTGAACGACGCTGTAGAGCATTTTCAGTTGGTTCTGGACCAGTGTCCGGTCAGCCATCCAGACCATGCAACGGCTCTCACCAACCTTGCGTGGGCCTGCCTTCAAGGCTACATCCGAAATGATCTTGAAGACATCGATGCCACCACTTCCCTCTTCCGCGACGCCCTTGCATTGCGTCCGCAGCCCCATCCCGATCGTCCCTCATCTCTATACAATCTCACCCAAGCGCTGACTTGGCGCCACAACAAGAAAAGGACTGCCGCGGACATCCGGGAAGCTGCCCAACTCTATCATGAACTACTGCCTCTCTGTGCAGAGGGCACCTACCTTCGTATCATTGCAGCAGGGAAGAATGGTGTCGATTATGTGATCAGCGGATGCAGCAATCTTCCAATAGACGCATCTGATGAGGGTATCCACCTTCGACAAGTCGTCCTCGAGCTCTGCCCTCTAGGCCACCAACTCCGTCCCGCAGCCCTCAACAGGCTTGCACAAGCAGTTGAAGCACACTTTCATCAGCACGGCAGCATTGATGATCTTGACACGAGCATACAGCTTGGTCGTGAAGCCATGTCTCTGTGCCTCGAGGGACAAGTTGACCGCGGTATCTACCTAAACAACTTGGCCGTCTCACTCGCGTCGCGCTTCAATCATCAAGGCAAACCTCATGACCTCGATGAGGCCATCTCTTTGCACGAAGGAGCATTGCATCTGTGCCCTGTTGGGCACCAATCTCGTGATTTCTCATTGGACAACCTCGGGGATGTTCTCGTCAAACGTTTCAATAAACGCGGCGACATTGATGACATCACCCGAGCTATCAGCCTCCGTCGCGAGGCACTGACGTTGCGCCCACCTGGGCATCCACGTCGTGACACCACGCTTAGCAACCTTGCCCTCGCGCTCCACATCAGATATGGCAAATCGCATGTTAGGGAGGATCTTAACGAGGTCATTGATTTATATCGCGAATCCCTTCGGTTAAAGCGTCTTGGCCATCCAGAGCGCCATAAAACTCTTCGCAATTTGAGCTCGGTGCTCTGCTCTCGTTTCACGCAAACTCAGAAAAATGAAGATGTCGAGGAGGCCATCACTCTTTGCCAAGAATCATTGGCGGCTCTGTCTTCACTGCACCCGGGCAGGTGTCTCAGCTACAGGTGGCTGCAAGAGGCCTATTTGTCTCGTTACCAGAGTCTACACGACCCTGCTGATTTGTCGCTAGCTATAGAGAACTTCAGACTCGCATCAAGACATCCTACTCAAGGATTTCCTCGTCGTATCGAAGTGGCTATTAGCTGGGCTCTTCGAGCAGAGGTCTATCAACATGAATCTGCCCTGGAAGCATACCAAATGTGCTTTGAGCTTTTCGATGGCCACATGATGACGCGGTCGCTGGTCATCTCACGGCGTGAGGCTGCAGCCGCTGTTCGCGGTGCACGATCACTTCCTGTAGATGCAGCCTCATGTGCCATACGTCGTGACAATATACGACTAGCAGTTGAACTTGTGGAGCAGGGCCGTGGCCAGCAGTGGTCGCTGGCATCTCGACTCAGGACTCCAGTCGAAGACCTCGAGTCAGCAAATCCGAAACTGGCGCGCAATTATTTAAAGCTGAGCAAGCTGATTTCCAATGCAGCCCAGAGTTCTGCAACCATCACCGACAGAGCTGCTGCTGATCGGGAAGCAACAGAGTATAGGATGCTTACAAGGCAATGGGAAGCCACGGTAGCTGAGATACGCGATCTTCCAGCGTTCTCGCGGTTCCTGCTTCCACCTTCATACGAAGACCTCCAAGCGGCAGCGCGCCAGGGCCCAGTCATCATCCTCATTGCCAGTCAATACTCGTGTAGCGCCATCATCGTCCCGACGTCAGGAGACCCCCATCATGTTCCTTTGCTGTCTGTCACCCTTGCAGATCTGACTAATATCAAGGATCGCTTTACCAGGGCAATACGAGATTCATCTCGGATGAATCCAGGGGAGTCGAGGACGGATCTAATAGTGCTCTCGCGGATAATATGGGACCAGATCATGCTACCCATTGTCAACGTGCTCGAGCATGTCCTGAAACTAAAGCGCCGCTCTCGAATCTGGCTGTGTCCCACTGCAGCTTTCACGTCCATTCCTCTCCATGCAGCTCACCCATTTCAAACAAAGGCGGATCGTTCCGGGAGGGAGCCATGTCTGGAGGATCTCTACATTTGCTCTTACACGCCGACACTTTCAGCTCTGATCAGATCTAGACAGTTGATGAAGAAGCGCGTGTCTCCGTCCTTTGTGGCGATCGGACAGGGTCAACCAGGTGCAGGGAAAGGCAAGGCGCTCTTGGCTGTCGACAGCGAGCTAGAGCTTGTCCATAAGCTCGTCCCTGCGACGGCCAAACACACTACTATTTCTGGCGACGCAGCCACACGAGCAGGTGCGCTCGAAGCTTTGCAGCAGAACACCTGGGTGCACCTTGCTTGTCATGGGAAGCAGGACCCTAATCAGCCTTACGATTCGCATTTTGTCATGAAAGACGAACATTTGACGCTGCTCGATATCATGGAGAGGCATATTCCGCAGGCCGAGTTCGCGTTCTTATCGGCTTGTCATACTGCCGTCGGCGACGAGGAAACTCCCGACGAAGTGATTCACCTCGCAGCTGGTCTTCAGTTTTCGGGGTTCAAGAGCGTCGTTGGCACGCTGTGGGAGGTCGACGACTCTGTCGCAAAACACGTCGTCGAAGCTTTTTACGGGTATATGTTTGGAGATTTGAAGGATGGTGGTGTTATGGACTGTACGAAGGCGGCCTGGGCACTCAACTGTGCTACGCACGCGGTGAAGACGAAAGTACCGCTCGAACAGAGGATGGTTTTTGTTCATATCGGTGTATAATTCTACGTCGTATTGCTGTCGTCTGGTACGTCATTGATCTGCGGTCTCTTTCATCCTCTTGTACCAATGACCTGATACATTCTTGCGCTCTAGCTATCTTGTTTTCGTATACTCTGCCGTGTTTTTGTCGACTAGAATGCTCACCAAAGTTCTTGTGTACTCGATTCATTTGCAACTTCGTCTGCTACTTGGGTACTTAGATAGTGGGAGTTACTAGGCCAGTCGAACATACCCGCGCCTTCCAGTCATACCAGGGGATCCTTCAAGTTTCACCCCTTCTGCACTATGTAACCTCAACTAACCACTGCCAATGTAGTCAATGCCAAGTCAAGTCAGAAGCAAATCCCGGATGGCTGCTTCGACTTGTGACCCATGTGTACTGCTTGCATCTTCGACATCAGTCCTAATCTACCAATGAAGCATGAGTTATCGGCCTTGCTTAATGCTCACCACGAGTCCTTGAAGGTTGTTAATCGTGAAGTCAGAAGCAGAAGTTTAGCATGGAGATGGTAAGTAAGAGTCCGTTTCTACTTTGTCCGGTATATGGCTATCCCAGCTAGCCAAAGCTATAGTGTAAATCATTGGAGTAGGGCTGTAGGGTTATTTCTAAAGAACCAATCTTTCCATCTTCTAATGCGCGTCACAGCACCAGATACCGTTTATCCACGATAAGTTGAAGGCCTCCGGGGGTCCATGCAGTCCTGTGAACCACGCGATTTTCCTTTAATGACAAAGTCAATACGTGAACATAACTCTTTCAAAGACCCACCGACCTTTAAAATGCCGCTTCAAATTTCAGTAACGCGCCTCGTCCGAGCTCCAGAATGCAAGTGCTAAGTGACTATACCTTGGTTGAGGGTATTGCCAAACTAGACTTCTCGTGCAATCTCATGGATCAGGCGTCCGAGGATGCTCGTGGATGTATCGTCCTCCTTGGATGCCCGACGTCCACCCAAACGCGACACCCAAAGCGGTTGCTGGGCTGAACAAAGAATAATACTCTCTCCCAAGCCTGACCTTGACCGCAACCAGATCGTATGGGCTATCTTCTGAGGTTGTGATCGACTCAGCAACTTCTCGTTCGAAGGTATGAGAGCCGGAAACAAGGAAATAGTCCCGCAAGGAGTACATATTCAATTCGATGGGATAAACGGTCAGGTCCACCTCTACGATGGAGCGATCGTTTTCGGAGGTTTTCACCACATCTTTATCGAGTGCCCTGATTTCGTTAACGCGTTCTTCGCATATCCAAGACTCGATCATCGCAATAACGGGCAAACTTTTGCGGATCTCGCGTACATCTTGATTGCCTTAAGTTGGTCATCAGATAAGACTTTATCAATGCGCAGGACAAAAATCTGACCGAGAGCAGAACGCAGCATGCGGCAGTGAACACGGTGGCCGGATTCCCAAGCTTCCTTCTGGCAATCTTTTGAGCAGTAACGTGTCAGCATGCATCCCGAACAACGATATGCTGTGACATCGTCTTCAGAGAAATTGAGAGAGCACTGATATAAAGGATTTTAGTTGGCGAAGAGAAACGGACCGTTCTCGAACGCACTTTCGGGCTACAACATTGATATCGGTAGAAAGGAGCTCCTTCAGGCAGCTCGTGGAAATTGGTGAAGGTACGGGCCGCGGAGTCAACGGCTTGCCATAACTCCCATAATACAGGGTCTTGGGACGCTTGTTCTTCAAGGCCTAGCCGATCTAATCTCTGAAGGGCGGGTTGAAGAACCCGTAGCACTTTTGAGAATACGAAGAACCGGGGAAGCTCTTTGAGCAATTGAATGTCATGGTCATCATCAAAGCGTTTGGTATTGTCGACACGTTCAGCTCGCGATGACCCAGTCCGTAGGAGACATTCGAGTAGCCCATGCTGAATGGCCTGAGATATCACCAAAGCAGAGTCATTTGCGCAATTCATTGAATACCCGATATAGCGATATGCTATATATAACACTCTGCGTCGCGCCGCCAGCCCTATATCTGGTTCATTATCGGAACTATTCCAAGCAGGGGTTAGGAGTCGTTCCCAGAGTGTTGTGATAGCACTTAGGACAGTACGAATTGAGCCGATTTGGAGGAGCAATTCGTGACAGCCGCCCTCTCTATCGCCCAATGATTGCATGAAGAGGATGGCTTGAGCCAAACCAGTAGCACATACTGTCATGGATGAGAAGTCAACGTTTTCTCTTGCTCGTAACCGAGGTTCTGGCATGTTGGACACCTCTTTAGTCATACGACGAATATATCGGAGGGCTAATGAGGCCATGGGGAGGGTTCCGCCGGCAACAGAGGAGATGATGGATACTGGCAGAGACGCAGGAGTGTCTTCCATGCAAATAACGCTGAGCGAGCACATATTCGCACGTATCAGTGCACTGAGATTCTTGTCGCCTTCTCGAAGAGGATCAGCGACATCATCACTCTTCAACCCATCGACAATGACCCAAGCCCGGAAGAAGAATGCTTGAACAGTGGGGTTCGTCCTCATCAATTGCCTGCCAATTGTTGTGAATTGACACAAGGTTGATAGTGGATGTATGGTAATCCTAAGGGCTTCGTAAGTGCTAACAGACAGGCCATGCGGGAGGGCAGCAGGTCTTTGCGAAGGTGGGAGGAAGTTGTTGCTGAAGAACTGCATCCACGGGAAGAGCATCTCCCACTTTGAAGCAACAGCGTCATGGACAATGCGTTCTCCAATACTGATATTGCTGCCGAGGTTATGACAAATTTGTACAATGCCACCCATGGACCATTTGGCGAGCATGATCACTGGTACAACATCAGGACTAATTCTGTCCGGAATAGGGTATGCCTCTAGTTGTGCGTGAAAGACGGGGAGTAAAAGTGGCGTGACATCCTTGAGTTGATTGAGACTACCAACGACATCTCGGAGATCTTCGACTGAGCCACGCAATGCCCCATCAATTTTACGCTGTAACAGCGAGAAACAAGGAATCAGCGTTGTCATGCTTCTTGAAGAGAATCGAGCATACCTGCATCAAACGAGGCAGAGCCCTGAGAGCTTCCCTATCCCGTGTGTTAATTCTGGGCGCCATGAGTGAATAGTGGTATCGGTCATCGATGGTATCAACATAGCATCGTACATAAGCATTTCCAGATCTAAATTTGTAATATGGACCAAACAATGTTGTCAGCCTTGTGGCGGTGCCACCAGATGAACAAGCAGAAGACAACAAAAGACCGAAAAACACAAAAAAGGCGAAAGTTACTCCTTACGCTATCCTCAATTGTCAAACTTCGTTTCTCCATCGCCACTACCGGTGTGGGCTTTCTGTGGCGTGCTACTCGCCAACACGAGCCCATACAATAGTGCAGCATAGAACGCCACACCACCGTGTTATCCTGCTTCTTATTGAACGTGGTACGCTTTCCCTTCTTCTCCGAGCACTGATTCTGTGTTGTCTTGTAAACAGCAGAAGTCTCGTAGACCCCTGGTGTGTGTTACGACGAGCTGAAGGTAATAGATGGTGTTCTGGAGTGATCTTGTTTCTCCATATTCAATAACCACTATCTACCTCGTGATGTTATGTAGGTCACCAACTCTTCCGGAGCGTCTGCTGCAGTTGGGCTGATTACCTTTTGCCACAGGCACTATATATAATTCTTCTGAGAATTCTGCAAACGTATGGTGCAAGGACTACGCATTACGCATTCCTGATACTAATGCGCACCTTGAGAGACGTGTTATCACCTATGTCAATTGATCGGAATGCTTTGATATGGTACGCGTGCAAAACTCGTTACAAAATAACATAACATACCCATACATACAATACGAATCGGCGATATGTCCGCTGGAACAGTAACAGTACAAGAAACAGAAAGAAGGTATGTAGCCAATCCATTGGATAAGATGAGAAAAACGATACCTCCTAGTTCAAGGTCGGCGCCTCTGCATCAGGCGCGAAGCGAAGTCGTGCAAGGAGTATGGTATCCCAGATCTTGTGCATCCGCGATACCTTACTCGTAAAGTTGATCCGCGAGGGGAAGAACTCTTTGCCTTCAGACTTGACCGTGAAAGTGCCCCATGGATGGTTCGCTTTGCGAGAAGAGAAAACGTTGAAGTATGCCTCCCCTGACAACACGGGATCGGCCACAAAGAGAGCGTAGTCGCGCGCGTTCACGGTGCCCGTCACTGCGAAACAACGTTATTCGGACTAAGCTAGGGAGGTAGACGTCGACATGCACGTACCAAGAAAGACGTCTTCTTTCTGGATAGGGTGATTCGGTGCGTATTCCTGCAGGATCACTTGTATGTTGTCTTTAAACCACTGTGAAACTGCGGGAAGACTACCATGGGAGAAGTCCCGGATTTCGAACGACTCGGCATAGACCGCAGCTGTCTTCTTACCAGCTTCCAGGGGAAATGATTGCCTGCGAGATACGTTCTCGCCGCTGCAAATATTCAGCATAAAACATACAGCCATAGGCATAAGTAAGTAAAACTTACTCGTGACGGTTGCCGCCGAATTTGAATCTGCTTAGCATACTCGAACCATTGTTATGAACACGACGTGCCTTCCCGATGTTGATGCTACCGTAATCCCGCAAGGAAGGCATACATTTTGCCACGTCGCCCTCAGCCTTCTTCTTTCCTCCAATCTCAATGACGTTGCAGAGGGTTATGAACTCCCCGTCAGGTTTGGAGACATATCCCACAGCACCCACCTCGATAGGTGACGGATACCAAAGAGGTGTCGTGACTAGCAAGCAATGAGTATTAACGCACACGATCGCATTATAATGGTGAACAGAACTATGGCTTACACAAATCTCCATACCCGTGGGTGTCCTTGGCTAAAATCCTGTAGCGCCTCTCGTCTCGCATAGCACGTGCCCACGTGGACATGAACATCATCTCAAGGAAGCCGTCGGTGGTGTACTCGAAGACAGCGCCAGCCTCATCGACAGCGTTTGGATCCGTAAAACCTGATGTCCCGCTGGACATAGACGACTCTGGAACGTTTGGAAAGTCTAGGTCTGGTTCTGAATGTCCGAACTCAGACCCAAATCCAGATGACGTGCTATAATAATCGGACATGGATGGAGTGTGTGTTAGCCAAGAATGGCCTTCAGAAGTGGGTGTACCAAAGGCTCGAAGGCCAGGCGAGGGACGGTCTGAAAAGCCAATGACCGGTGAGTTCGCGGGACCATTCGGCGTGCAAGGGGTTGCTAAGCCGTCCGCACCATATGTATGTAAGAAATTGCGACAGCCTCGAAGCCAAAAAACTGTCATGGAAAATGGTGAACGGCAACGAGGGTCACGCGCCCAGCAGCAGGTGATGACTGGGAGGACAATCGTGGAAAGAGGGGTATCGGACACCTCTGGGCGAGCATCGTGTTCTAGAGACACATAAGCAAACTTGAAAGTCAGACAAGATGCGTTGAACGTACCGAGCACGATCCGCTTTATATCTTCGTCGTCTCGGGTGCCATAAGGAATGCCACCCATATTGAGGATCTCCACGCAGCAGATGGCAAAAGCGTAGACGTCCGCTTGCATTGTCGGACTTGCGGCACCATCCAAAATTTCTGGCGCTTTCCACCTCGGCGTCCCATCTGTGCAATCAGATGGTCAGAAATAAAACGCTACTTCAAAAGTCGACATACTCGGTCGTTGACACCCGCTCAGCCTGTAGGCATCATCCTTGAGTTCGCTCTGACCGAAGTCAGCAATGGCACAGTTTCCTTCTGTATTCACGAATACATTTGCACACTGTTCCAATACATGAGCAGAGTGTAGGGACATCGTAGGGCTCACGGACCTTTAAATCACCATGCACGACCCCTTGGGCATGCAAGTATTCCATCCCGCCAGCGATCTGAGAGATAAATCGGAACTGGTCCACTTCGCGTGGCGTGGCGTAATCATCGCGTGCTATGGTCAGCAACCACTCCACGAGGCTTCCGCGTTCGTATAGCTCGCTCACGATGAACCATGGCTTGGAGCCATGGGCGCTACTCGCCCCGAACATACGAACGACCTGAGGGTGTTTGAGTCTGCGCCACAGCTCGACCTCTCGACGAAATGTCGAAGCTGGGGTGAAGTCGTGGAGAACCTTGATGGCGACCAATCTATCGCGCCAGGATCCAGCATAAACTCTAGAGAATGACCCTTGGCCGATCATCTCAAACCGGTCGACCTCATATCTGAACAATTATATCTATACAGAGCACAACATAAAACTGAGAAGGCACCCACCGCGTGATCGTCCATGAAGGAAGTTCCCATGGCAAAAGAGGGTTGTCACTGCCGGCGCCTCGCACCTGCATGCAGCGCAGCTTCGACATAGAGACGATGCTAGCATCCAGAAGCTCCATCTCAGCGAGAGTACTGTCGCTGGCGGTGGTCGTCCGCGAGAATGCATGGCGCAGGGACTCCAACTGTCGCCGCATGGCCTTCATTATCTCGGCAACTTCGTTCCGTTCAATCTCCAAACCATTGAGGACGTCAGCATCGCACAGTGCAGTACTGATAAAGCCAGGAAGATGCTCGAGCTGGAATTGGTCGTGACGGAGATCCTTATCCGGATTGTCTTCAGGGAAGATAGGGGGCAACTCGCGACGGACCTCGCCCTCGGCGGTCGACAGACACTCTGGCATAGATGGGACGGTCTCTGCAGGTGGATGACATATGTTGCGCTTCTGGCTTGCTGCGGACGTCTCTGGGTCCGGAATTGATGGTGCATGTACTAGGTCCGCACATAGCGTCGCGGTGTTATCCGAAAGAACCGATCCCAGATCTTGAATCTTCCCATCAAGGCACGAGACATTCTTGACAATCCTCACTGATACTGTCGCCTGCACCGTGAGCTGAAGTTTTAGATGATGATCGTGTGGCAAAAAAAAGGCATACAGTGAATCTTAACCAAGCATCCATCAAAGCCTGATCGCAATTGCAAAGTTCTTTTGCGATTTCAGCTCTCCTAATGAAACGTTTGAGCATCGGACGGCGGCTTATTCTACAGAGAAACCTCTCGATCTACGATTTACGCCGGTGTCAATACTAAAGCAGAGGCAGGGAGGTAGCAAAGACATACCTGGAAGATAACTTGTCTAAAGACGTGGAAGGCCGCATCGAGTTCCTTGCCAACGATGGGTCCGGCCCCTTCGATCTGCTCACGCACAAAGTAAAGCATTCCTGCGCAGCGTTCCACAATGCGAAGGCAAGAAAGTCTATTCGACTGTATAATGATGACATTGAAAAGTATGTGATATCAGCAACGATGGGGATAATTGGCTATGGTGTAAGTAACTCACCGAAAGCTGCTCGCACGCCTCCCAGATAATTAGGAGGGTACGCGACGCCTCCAAGAAAAACGGTAGTGGAACCAGAGCAGCCGCATCATACGTACACTCCAGGATAGTCTTCAAAGCAGGGAGCGCTTCATCAAGAATTGTCCCAACTGTCGAGACAACGCCTAACAGAGATGAAACCGACTTCCTTTCTTATTATCAAAGAGAGCGGACTTACAGGATGCTCTGGAATCCTTTTTCACCTGTTCGGAAGTCAGCCCGTCTCGTGTCATTATTGAATGGCATGCCAGGACGACGTTCTGCAAGGCTCTATAAGAGAAGGCACAAAATGAGACGGAGACAGGGAAGGCTCACCTTCTGTGCCCTGTTGAAACCATCTAGTTCGGCGCCGGTAAAACGAGAAAGCACCTTCGATTTATGGCACTTCTCCTTATCGCCGTTTTCCCCTTGGTCATCATCACATACCATTGCATGCCGTCGAAAGGGAGCAAAAACACTCTTGGATCTCGATACTTCTCTCTCAGCTTCCGCGATTCCGACACCCAATGGCCTGGATATGAACTCTCCAGGTGCTCCATTAGACGTCGCATCTCTAGGTGGGAGATACAACCGCGTGCCGGGACCAATCGAATTTAACCTTTCGTCAGGTTTAATTCTGGGTTCATCTTGATATACAAAATCTGCGGGGGTCCACCATTCGTCAGCATTCCATGGAGTTGCCATATTCCACCAGCGCCTTGGTGGGCGTCCTGGAGGTGTGGCATCACCCTTGATACGAGTACCAAAATCTACTTCGTCGTAGTCGTGATCAGCCAACGAACCACTCGCTTGGAATGAGGATCGAGAACGACGAGATGGCGAGTAAGAAAATGATTGAGAGTTTCTATGATCTGACGTCGAAGGATTTTGCACGAAAGAGCTAGACCTGAAGCGGGCATGAGGCCCACCAGCTGTCGCAGGGATATTGTATGATGACGAACGTCTGTGACTTGGATGTGAAAAATGTGCACTACCATGAGGAGGTGGGGCTTCTAGAATGGGAGAGGCCGCAAGTGACGGTGGCCGATATCCAGATAGTGAAGGTGACGAATATTGGTTGAATGAACCAGAAGACAAGCGAGGGCGCATATAGGGAATCGATCCAGCGGAAGAACTTGCAATGGACATCGACAACTGTTCAACGATGCGCTGTCTAGGTGAAGTCTGCGGGCTGGACGATTCGATGGAGCGACGAGCGACCTCCAAACCAAGGATGGGGTGCGGCGGAATGACATTGAAATACGACTGGCCGAAAGACGGCCTGCGCTGGTGTGAGTGAATCCCGCCGCCTGGACTCTGCAGTGGAGGCTGCCGAAGACGAGGGGACGAAGGCGGTTTGAGCGGAGAGGAGATATGCGGGGAGGACACAAAATCTAGCGGGGTGGAAGACGGCGAGGCCAGTCTAAGGGCCAAATCTCGCGGAGAGGTTCCTGGAGAGGACATTACGCTAAGATAAAAGAAATACGATTGAACTGATGCAGTGATATATAGAAGTAGGAGGAAGTTTAGAAGGGAGAAGGGTTTTCTGGAACTGAACGGGCGGGCGGGCAGTTGACTTTATAGTCTTCAGCAATGGAGTTCAAACTGCAAGTGCAATACTACGCTTGCCTTTCTGGGTGCGATCGGCGATCGCTAGCATTGTAATTCCGTGGATATTCTGTGCCGACAAATAGGAAGACTAGAATGAAAGTCAGACACTCGTTTGCGAGAAAGCTGCTGGAACTAATCCTACAGAACGATGGCTAAAGAACACCAGAAATGGAACAAGAGCCTTCTCTCCGCCATAGCGCAGAACCATCCTGATAGGACTGTTGAACCCAGGAGACTCCAAACAAGGTGTCGCCGCGTTTGAGTATTCCACTAATTGACAAGGCCGTTGAAATATTGCAATCCGCAACCGGGACTACCAGACGATTGACTATATTCGATAATGACCGGCGGCGTCATGATATAACGTTCAACACTGATCGGGACATGGTAGATGTGACTCGACATCCTGCGAGACGGACGAGTGACACCGTGAAGCTGATATATCCATACTGGTTCATTCAAGTTGCGATGGGGTGCGGAATGGTGACAGATCGTGCTAATTCAGTTGTAACAGCCAGCCAGACGTGCAAATATCCATTTTATGGCCACCTTCACGAATTCTGTGGAGGAGCCATGCATGTCCTATGGAGCATTACAACAGATGGAGGCAGGAGGATCAATTGCGAACTCGTTGTGGCGTTTGATTAGGCCTTTGTGTGTCCAAGTTTGTCCAGTGAGTCACGCCACATTCGGATGCATGATTCGCCGTCGTTTTCAAGTTGTTGGTGGCCTAACTAGTACTCCTCTACGTCGAGCCACACATGTGGCAACGGATGATGTGTACCCGAGTGCAGCTACTGGCCAGGTGCGGGCGCCCATCCAATACATGGGACCTTTGTTGAACGACGCATGACGAAACTAATAAGGTCGTGTTTCTAGTAACAGTCACGGTACGCTATTAGTAGGACCTGGCCTCGCCAACACGACATGATGCTTGCTTGTTTCAGGCAATCCCAACCAGAAGTTTGATTGACTCATCAACGTTTCAACGTCGAGCAGGGCACGAGTCGATCAGAGCAATCATAGTACGTAATGATCAGCAATATTATGCAACACTCATCGATGCACTCGTCAATCATCCGGCTGTTAGTGAAAGAGACACTGTTGTCGTAGGTTGGTAGAGAGGCCTGTTCATGCTAAAAGGATTCATGTATCAAAGTCATACGCGATGGCAGGCGTTCAACAAAAAATGCGATTGCTTCCTAGCGTTACCAACAGTACGAGAACAAATACCTTCCTTTCTTCATAAATGCATAACGGGGAGACTATAGCAGTACTAGTACATGACAACTTTGTGTCAAATGATAGCAGTTCAAGCGAGTTCCCACTCTTCCCCATTCACCGTGTAGAGGAGTTCTTTCACGGTCTCACCGCCCACAGATAAGGAAGGCCCAACGGTGAAGTTGGTCAAAAGGGTACCAAAAGTCAACGCCGTCAGAGGAGCAAGTGAAAGGATCACCTGACCACTGGTGGCATCGACGTTGACCGACAGATCAGCGGTGGTCAACGTGATAACGACATCGTCAGAGCCAATCATGACGGTGCCTGCAGTGCCGCTGTGAGACTAACGGTGAAGCGAGTGCGTTCGGTGCGCGAAACATAGACCGCGTTCGTCGTGTTAGACGATGTGGGATAGTACCAATAGTCGTAAGGAGCGACTTTGGAGCGAATGAAGAAACTTTGGTAGGGCCACTATCAGCAAAATGCAGAACGTCCTGCAAGGAACTGACTTACGAGTTTCCGCTGATGTGGTCCGCGAAATGTTCGAGCGGTGGGATGATGCTCAAGCCGCGACCACCTAAGTCATTCAGCCAGGTGAAAAACACCTTGCCGAGGAATTGGGTCGCAACCCCAGTCGTGGTGAGGGAGTCTGCGGCGTTTGCCACACCCACGTTATGGGTGTAGAACTGGGCGTTGACACGCTGAACGCTAGTCACGAAACTAGTGACGGTGGAAGTGGACACGGCACGCCACCACTCATCCGCAACTTCGCGACTGGCAAAGGTAATCACGTATCGATAGCCCGAGTTATCCGTGACCTGAACAGAGATTTAGCACGACATCGCAGACAACGAATAATGGATTTTGGTACATATTTGACATATGCGTAGAAAACCATGATTGTATATTCAACAGGAGAGATGATTTGTTGGCTGTGGTTGGATTGAAATGAGTCGTTCGAACACTGTACATTATATAGAGAGAGCAAGTTGTTTGGTCGGGTTGACCATAACGCGTAACGTCTCGACCAACTGGGATTTGAAAATCAAAAGGGGGCGGATAAAGAAACACTGCCGATCCGAGCGAGGACCAAAAGATATGATGATTTGACACGTCGCGCCAATCTGGACATTCCGGCAGGCTGCATTTACCGGCACCTGAAGCTTCAGAAGATTGCCTGAAGATGCACAAAGTCAGCAACCTCGTCCGATGGGTGTGGATTCTGTGGAAGCATAACAACCGGTATTCGATGTAGCCTTGATCCCCCTTGACCAGCTGTCCTTATTTCACCATCGTGACTCGTCGGTGGTGGCATCTCTATCTTTCTGCAAAAGGAACAGGCAACATGATATTGTCCAAGCGTGTGCGAGATCATGATTAAAGCTGTAAGGAAGAGGGTTACCGGTTACGACTTACCTTCATATTATGTAATAATACACTTCGGTCCGAGTCCGATCGTAACGTCGTTGCTTCACCATTGAGGGACTCATCCCACTTCAAAAGCAAACTATATCTTTCTCCTCATTTACTCCTGAAAATAAGAGCGCAGAACAATGCAATATAGAGTGCTCTATTCACTTCTCACCAAACTAATGCTTGTCCTGTGTGTTTATCACCGTGACACTGTCGGAAATGCCGTCATGGAGCCCTAACTGACAGTAGATCTGGGACAATGGATCTGCATTTTATGCGCCCTACCTACCCTCCGCTCTGAGTGCCTTTGCGTTGCTCCTGACCTTTTTTCCAGTGGTACCCGCGTGCCGTCAGATTGGGGTAATGTACATGTCCCCTTGATCTTAGTACAACCCTAGGTCTAGACAGATAGGCTCCCTCTCCCCTAGCTTAGGGACCTTACTGTTAGTGATGTTCCGGCCCGGCTTGGGCTCAAAGCCCCGGCTTAGGCTCGGCCTGGGGGGGGCTTAGGCTCACCAGATTTCAAGCCTGAGCCGTGAGCCCAAGCCGGCCCAAAGCCGGGGCTTAGGCCCATGCAAGCCGCGGCCCAAACCGATGTCCGAGCTCCACCATGCTGTTCCCAACACCACGAACACCATGCGCAAACGCCCAGCACACGTCAGCAACTGCTGACGTGGCTCAGACGAATACGGACGATGGACGAGAGCAGGTGAAGGGAAGAAGACAAGGAGGAGAACGTTCGGACAGGGATGGAAGGGTGTGTGGAGGAGTGGCGTAAGAAGTGATATAGGCCGGAAGACAGCTGTTGAACTCGGAAGGTTGTCCGACCCAGTCGAGGATGGTGATGTCTGTAGGTGGACATGGACACTGAAGATACCAAATAATGAATACGCGACGACTTCTTGCAATGTGGTGACGCGAGATGACGCCCATTGAAGTCTCCGTCGAGCGTCGCTCATCCCAGGACGAAAGGAGATCAGACGTGCATATGTAGTTGAAGTTGAGAGGAATCGCTGTCGACGTCCAAACCCTCCGAGTCGAACGTTGCCGATGAGACCGAAGGCGAGGAACGACATGGTGAATAGATCGTCCGAGCGCAAGGGAAAAGAGGCGCAGGGACGAGAGATGTGACGTTGGGGCCGAAATCTTCCAAGTATCAATGTTTCGTTTCAATATAGATTAGAAAAGGACTTACCGTATAAAAGGCAGCATCCAGCCACCCGAGCGTCTCAGTTCTGACCAAGATACTGAGACGTGAGTTAGCTTTTACTTTACACTTCGAGTAGCCGTACTGATGCGACGTAGGAGACTTACCTGTTAGGTACATACGTCGTCAATAAAGAGTTCTGACCAAGATACTGAGATGAGACTTACCTGTTAGATCCTGCTGCGCCTTTACGAGTTCTAGAATCGCGTCATAGTAAGAGTCAGTAATGAGAAAATGCCAAACACATACTTGTGGGGCGTGACCACTGACGTGACAAGGTGTCATATACTCTATGTACCAAAGCCGCGGCTTGGGCCGCCGGCTTAGGCTTTTCTAAATTCAAGCCCAGGCCTAAGCCCTGCTCAGGCCGTGACTTAGGCCTGGGCTAGGCCCGGCCTATTTGGGCCCGGCTTGGGCCGGCCCAGGGCTTCAAGCCGGGCCTTGCACATCACTACTTACTGTAGTGCTAAAGACTTTGCTGAGACCAAAACTGTAAGAAAGTGATGACAAGAGTGACGACCTACCCTCATCTACACATGACTCAAGACTAAGCACGAACTTTGTACATACTTTGTTTCGTTGCCCAGCACATGTGCATATGAGTGTCGCAAAATGACACCATTATACTCTGCAACTCCGTCACTACAGCCCCTGATAGGTAGGCTACCCTCCGAAGTCTTCGTGAGTTCCTGGACCTCTTTAAGTCCAGGTTCTAGATTCGCTTAGGAGGGTTCTGTCCGCAGCTCTACAAGTTCATGAGAAACTGACCGTCATGTGGTTTCAAAACTGTATATGAACAGCAAACCCCTTTTCTTCCGCCGTTATCTTGTCTTCATGTTGGAAAGGACCGCGGATGATTTGAGAGCCGGCTGACTGCGGAAACAAAAGGCGTTCCTGAATGCGAAATACAGATCCATGACCGATCTTAGCACGAGAATGAGGACAGACAATGGGATGACCTTGTGCTAGGCAGTAGTACAGGTGAGAAAGCCAGCGCAGAGAGCCGCTCAAATGTTTTGCGATCATAGTGGAGCTGTGTCGGAAATGAGCAAGGAACTGAAATAACAGACGTCAATACATCATAACATTGATCAGAAGCCAACCGATGCTTGAAAGACAAGAAGAGATGATCACACGGACACTTTGTTGTGAGTCACCACAATCGACTCGCCGTCAAACTAGTGACAGTCTGCAAACAGTAATTGCACGAACAAACAACGGCCTCAGCGCTCACGAAAGTCCAGAACATAAGTCTCCAGGGGATTCGAAGCACGACAGATGAAATTCAGGGCCAGCATAGTAATTGGGGCAATCCGAGGTGGTATGGGCAACCGCATGCGGTAGACAACAAACGTTCATCAAGCACACGAGCGATGCGGCACGTGAATTTGTAGACGAATATCGTACACTGCAGAAAAGGATAAGTTAATGCACATAGGAGAACAGAACAGAGAGCCCACGAAAAAGCAGTATAAGATACAACAGCGACAACACTCAACAGTGTAGAGAAATGCCACAGCTTATGTAATATTTATGTCATGCTTATTCATTAACATTATGAGCACGTACATCAGAAGGTCACTGAAACCGCCCTTCCGGCGCAAAACAGTGTGGTCCGTAGTACGGCACTACGGCGGATATATCCGCAGTCCGGCGGCAAAAACACGGCCAGGTGGCGGACTTTGGCTGACTTTTAAATCACCTAGGTACGTGCTACCGTGACACTGCTAATCTTATCAGCGCATACAGTGCACGCCCATCCGGCATGGACCCAGCATCGCACCTACCACCTTCCAAAAGTCATTGACCGAAGCCTGTGTGCGGAAAACTTCTTCGGAAGGATGTCCGAGTTCCTGCCCAGCGAGTAGTGCACTGGTGAGCAGCAGTCGTTGGTAGCAGCTGTAGTAGAACGGGCCTCCAAGTGTATTTCAATGTCCGACGTGCCGTCTGTTAGCCACTAGCTTTGCCGCCGTTCTTGCCGTAGTGCGTGCCGGACTTTCTGCGCCGGAGGGGCGGTTTTAGGGATGTTCTCACGTACATAGGCGAATCTTTGGTTGGGCCTTATGTAATAATACAAGTGGTGACCTTGATTGGCACAATGTCATGTTCAAAAGCGAACTATATCTTTCTCCTCATTTACTCCTGAAAATAAGCGCACGGAACAATGTAGTATAGTGCTCTATTCACTTCTCACCAAATTTACAGTACTACTAACGCTTGTCCTGTGTTTATCGTGCTTTTGGAAATCCATATCAAAACTAAATGGCTTTTGTGAGTGCTTTGAGATATGCAGTGCACTTGTTATAACCATCCTTCAGGAATACTTTTTCTTTCCAAACGAGACAGAAAATCAAAACCATTCAAATCGGCTGGGTCCGCTGTTGAGTTTTTGGGACCACATACCCTACTATGATCATTCAGGTATGCCATTCATGATTCGACCTATTCTCCTTATGAACTCAGGTTTAATAAATATTTCGGCCTGTGTCCAGACCACTCAACCCTCACATGTCTTTGCACAAACCGTCTCAAATGCTCCATCCCTCCCTCGACACATGAGACACGCCGGCGTACCTGAAGTGCTAGTCCTTCTGCAACCCGAGAAAAACAAAGCACCAAGTTCGGTTCCTACCATTTCTTTGTCTCACCCTGGAGTATCTTCTGTCGATCCAGACAATTTTATTTGGCTTAAAAATCCTGCAAGTACATAGAATATAGAATATGAACAGTTAGCAACACTGAATACAGGCAATATACACTACCACATTTCTCTTTTCCAATGTTGAAGCAACGACGTTACGATCGGACTCGGACCGAAGTGTATTATTACATAATATGAAGGTAAGTCGTAACCGGTAACCCTCTTCCTTACAGCTTTAATCATGATCTCGCACACGCTTGGACAATATCATGTTGCCTGTTCCTTTTGCAGAAAGATAGAGATGCCACCACCGACGAGTCACGATGGTGAAATAAGGACAGCTGGTCAAGGGGGATCAAGGCTACATCGAATACCGGTTGTTATGCTTCCACAGAATCCACACCCATCGGACGAGGTTGCTGACTTTGTGCATCTTCAGGCAATCTTCTGAAGCTTCAGGTGCCGGTAAATGCAGCCTGCCGGAATGTCCAGATTGGCGCGACGTGTCAAATCATCATATCTTTTGGTCCTCGCTCGGATCGGCAGTGTTTCTTTATCCGCCCCCTTTTGATTTTCAAATCCCAGTTGGTCGAGACGTTACGCGTTATGGTCAACCCGACCAAACAACTTGCTCTCTCTATATAATGTACAGTGTTCGAACGACTCATTTCAATCCAACCACAGCCAACAAATCATCTCTCCTGTTGAATATACAATCATGGTTTTCTACGCATATGTCAAACAGGTACCAAAATCCATTTTTCGTTGTCTGCGATGTCGTGCTAAATCACTGTTCAGATCACGGACAACGTGACCTATCGATACACGATTACCTTTGATAGTCGCGAAGTTGCGGACGAGTGGTGGCGTGCCGTGTCCACTTCCACCGTCACTAGTTTCATTACCAGTGTTCAGCGTGTCAACGCCCAGTTCTACACTCATAACGTGAACGTGGCAAACGCCGCCAACTCCCTCACCACGACTGGGGTTGCGACTGATTTCCTCGGCAAGGTGTTTTTCACCTTGGAGAATGACTTGGGTGGTCGTGGCTTGAGCATCATCCCACCGCTCGAACATTTCGCGGACCACATCAGCGGAAACTCGTAAGTCAGTTCCTTGCAGGATGTTCTGTATTTTTCTGATAGTGGCCCTACCAAAGTTTCTTCATTCGCTCCAAAGTCGCTCCTTACGACTATTGGTACTATCCCACATCGTCTAACACAACGAACGCGGTCTATGTTTCGCGCACCGAACGCACTCGCTTCACCGTTAGTCTCACAGCGGTACTGCAGGCACCGTCATGATTGGCTCTGACGATGTCGTTATCACGTTGACCACCGCTGGTCTGTCGGTCAACGTCGATGCCACCACCGCTCAAGTGATTCTTTCACTTGCTCCTCTGACGGGGTTGACTCTTAGTACCCTTTTGACCAACTTCACCGTTGGGTCTTCCTTGTCCGTCAACGATGAGACCGTGAAGGAACTCCTCTACACGGTGAATGGGGAAGAGTGGGAACTCGCTTGAACTGCTATCATTTGACACAAAGCTGTCATGCACCCGGTACTGTTATAGTCTCTTCCCTAGATAGCGGAAAGTGTACTGTTAGTAACGCTATGAATTTTCTCTTGAACGCCTGCAATCACATGTACCACTGCTTTTGAGATAGACTGGTGATTACTAGTCCGTCAATGAGACGCCCTGGCTATGCCACTCATGCGTGGTTATACAAGCCAGGCTGGTCCCGAGCCTAGCTTGCGGCCTTTGAGATGTGTGAATCCTTTGGGCATCGACCTCTCCACTAACCTGGCATCCAAATGACTCAGACAAATTTGTACACATTCATTTTTTGTTAGTGATAATCAAACTCCAGGTGCGTGCCGTGCTGAATGGTATCTCCACCGGTAGGTCGTGGTCTCTAGTGTTCTCTACCCCCATGGCCATCACATCTGAGTCAAATATAGCATAAATACACATCTCTTTCAACTTGATTCGTTCATATTCAACACCAATTATACATTACTGCTATATTGTTCTTAGTTCAAGTTGCTACAGTGGGTCTCACCATGCTCTTCTCGTACCATTCCCTCTCGAACTCAATCGCCTTCTTGAGCGTCCCTGATGTGCGCCACCCATGTTGTTCGCCATCGAAGAAATGCGCCTCAACACGCCCTTTAGATTTAATGATCCCATCAATAATAGTCCAGGATTGTGCGGGCGGAACAATTGCATCATCATTGCCTTGAAGAACCTGTTGGAAAGATGATCTACCCAACACAACGGATTTCATCGAGAGATGAACATACGAGTAATGGGGTTTTGATGTTCGTAGAAAAATACACCGGGCTCCGGTCGTGCCAAACTTTCGGAATCTCTTCCCTTGTACCACCAAGAAGCTTTATGATATACATGAGCTCGAACTTGTGCGTGTCTTCTGCAAAAAGCTCCATGTTTGAAATTCCGTAGCTGTTCGTGGCACTTGCGAAGAATTTCACTTTGCTCGCTGCGGAGGAGTCGAGGGAAATGGCAGCAAGGGTAGTAAACCCACCCGCACTCCCGCCCCGGATCGCAGTGCGTTTGGTGTCGATGAGGGAACTGATTGGAGGTGATTGGATTGCGCCAATGCAGTCGCTCACGTCGGTAATACCCCAGTTTCCTTGGAGGCGGCAGTGGAGGCTGCCGAAGACGAGGGGACGAAGGCGGTTTGAGCGGAGAGGAGATGTGCGGGGAGGACACAAAATCTAGCGGGGTAGAAGACGGCGATGCCAGTCTAAGGGCCAAATCTCGCGGAGAGGTTCCTGGAGAGGACATTACGCTAAGATAAAAGAAATACGATTGAACTGATGCAGTGATATATACTAGTAGGAGGAAGTTTAGAAGGCAGAAGGGTTTTTTGGAACTGAACGGGCGGGCGGGCAGTTGACTTTATAGTCTTCAAGCTTCAGCGCTTCAGCAATGGAGTTCAAACTGCAAGTGCAAGACTACGCTTGCCTTTCTGGGTGTGATCGGCGATCGCTAGCATTGTAATTCCGTTGATATTCTGTGCCGACAAATAGGAGGACTAGAATGAAAGTCAGACACTCGTTTGCGAGAAAGCTGCTGGAACTAATCCTACAGAACGATGGCTAAAGAACACCAGAAATACAAGAGCCTTCCCTCCACCATAGCGCAGAACCATCCTGATAGGACTGTTGCAACGTTGAACCCAGGAGACTCCAAACAAGGTGTCGCCGCGTTTGAGTATTCCACTAATTGATAAGGCCGTTGAAATATTGCAATCTGCAACCGGGACTACCAGACGATTGACTGTATTCGATAATGACTGGCGGCGTCATGATATAACGTTCAACGTTCAACACTGATCGGGACATGGTAGATGTGACTCGACATCCTGCGAGACTCGGACGAGTGACACCGTGAAGCTGATATATCCATACTGGTCCATTGCGATGGGGTGCGGAACAGTGACAGATGGTGCTAATTCAGTTGTAACAGCCAGCCAGACGTGCAAATATCCATTTTATGGGCACCTGCACGAATTCTGTGGAGGAGCCATGCATGTCCTATGGAGCATTACAACAGATGGAGGCAGGAGGATCAATTGCGAACTCGTTGTGGCGTTTGATTAGGCCTTTGTGTGTCCAAGTTTGTCCAGTCCAGTGAGTCACGCCACATTCGGATGCATGATTCTATGGAAAGCCAGACAACCGTGCTCAACTTTGACAACCGGACCACCGTGCTCAATAGCCTATTGAGGTAAGTGCTTCTATGGACCTCCGAACACCCTCAACGGTTGGAAAAATATATTAAATTGTGATCCCAGCACACGTTATTGTAGAGGAGGAAGCACATATTCAAGTTCGTGTCAAGAGGAATAAAAGAGCGCATTACACTTGCTACTAAGAGTCATGAGTTTCGACTGCTTCATCTAGACTGATATACTTCTCCAAACCAGCCCATTCGCAATAGTCATTGCAGATATGCTGCTCCTCGAACATTGTCACTGCGACTTCTATGTTGCCGTCACCGAAAATATCCTGCCCTCCGCTAACTGAACTGACCATCGCAATAGTAGTACATCAGTGACAGCCGGAGTGGAAAAAGCTTAAGAATATACATATGGGTCCGTCAATATTTGAGGGTCAGTTAGTAGTCCAGTGCTTCCTGATAGAGATTGATTAGTATAAGCCTGCGCTCGTCATCAGTCACATAGTAAGGACTACATACCTTGGTAGTCGGAGATAAATGCTAAACCACCAGTCTTCACATATTGAACATGTTGAGTGAACGAGAAGAATACTGCTAAATCGTAGCCATAATCAAGTTCATCGAGCAAAGGATTAGCATCCGTATTGTGAATAAACTTGAGAAATGCATCGTCGCCGCCGTCAATGAGTTCTTCCAGGAGATAGCATGCATGAATAGGGCATGTCTTCGAACCTGGCTTGGAAGCCGCTGCTGGGCCTTGAACAAACGCTAAAGCAAGGCCGGCCTCAACAAAGCGTACTCGGGGAATGGGAGATGGTGGCGGACAAGACGAAGCGAGGCGACGATCAATGAAATCATAGGTGAGTTGTAAAAGAGAACTCGCCCAGTACAGCACGTTTGCTTCTTTAAAGAGCTTCGGCAATTCGTCTGCCACAGGAAACCTACCGATCTTGAAAGGTCCCTGTGATACACCATGCGGGTATACTTGGTGAAAGGGCCGTTTGACTACAATTTCGTGGCGGGAAACGGAGCCAAACCCAGAAATGGGAGGGGGAGTGAGTGTGAGCCATCCTGGGTGGGCCGTCTTGAACCCGCCCATCCCAATCATGTTGTCCTGGGATATATCGACTGTCAATTGGCCAACCCAGGATTCGGCGGCATCAAGTGTGAACGAGCGGTAATCTTCGTTTTGTAAGATCTCCGTTAACGGACATTTAGGAATAGGGTAGAAATGGATCGTCTCGTTCTGTTTTTCGAATACTACACAAGCCATTAGTCCACCACTCGAAGCGACATGTTAACTACCACTCTTACCTTTCTTTACATTCACATTTGCTGTGCCTCCGGATCTGAGGGCCGCTTTCAGGTTATCACGGTCAGGTGAGCAGAATGTAACATCCATGGGTGCAATCTTCTTGCGTGGAGGAGACGGAGGTAAAGCTCTACTGCCACTCTCCGTTCGCACGTGAATCCACTTAGATGCGGCCGGTACTGCCATGCGAGTCTCAGTTGCCAGCACAGATTTGGCCCGAGCTGTATCCTTGACCGCAGCGCTTTGCATTATGCGGCTGCCACTGCCCACATCCTCTATAAGTTCCTCCGCTAAGTCTTCGTCAACCACAGCACTTTGAACTATACGGGTGCTATCACCCTAAAACGACGACAGTAGTAAGCCTCAAGGAACGATAAAGAAAAACATTAGTAAGCTTACATCCTCTACAAGCTGTTCCGCCCAGTCTTCGTCGACCACAGTACTTTGGACTATGCGAATGCTACCACCCTAAAATGATGATCATAGTCAGTCCCAAGTAACGACGAGGAAAACATTAGTAATCTCACATCTTCTGTAAGGCGTTCTGCCCAGTCTTCATATTCTAGCCACCGTGCCCGAGGTGCGACTACCATTAAGGCGAATTGCTTTGTCTTGAATATCATTACCTTTGAGTCTTTGCGACCTGCTTGCAAGCACTGTGAGAGAAAATACGGTTCTCCAGCTGGGTGCTTTGAGAGATCTACCCATTTCGCATCCCGGACAACAAACTCTTCATCACGCCAGTTAAACCCGGAGCAAAAGGCCACAATCTTTGGCAGCATGGTATCGAGAGCGATCGCTATAAGTCCGGGTGCATCAACACGAGCATCGATATCTTTCATACCCTCGCAAATATTCTAAAATGCACGTCAATTAAATGCACGTCAAGTCCTATGATAAAATACATACTCCAATAGTGATGCCACGACTACCCTTCCGTCGGGTGCCGCCCTCGTGCACAGCTGAAATCTCCAGAGATATGGTCTGCGCTGGTGGCACAGGAAGTGGGAGTCTAGCCGAGATCTTGGCCCAGCGTTTGCATTCGGATCCATAACTAGCATGGTGCTCAGAATAACCAGAGGCCGGAGTGCCCATAGTAGCCTGAGGAAATGGACCGGTGGGTCGGGCCTGAAATGGGCGCTGTGGGTGTTGCCACGTTGATGGAATGTTGACACTGGGACCTGGCATGGGGCGTGCAATGTGAGCCATAGCCACAACGGGTGGTGGATTGATCGTCGCTGAAATGATTGTCAGCACGTAAAGTAACACAAGTTTTCTTTACTCACACTTTCTCTGTGCAGCGTTCACAGACTGCCGGATGATGTGCGGATCTGGCAACTCACGGCGGGGTCTCACTGTTGTAGCTAACTTGCCCTGATATCGTCTGTGACAAGGACCACAGACATAACGTCCTGGTGTTCCTGGGTCCACAGTGGCCACGTAAAAACAGGGGTCACCCTTCAAGATCTTGGAGCCGCAGGCGGGACGTTCGCACACTCGATCGTCTTTAGCGAACGCATCTTCAGTGAATTGAGAGACGAGTTCATACCCAGACATTGTGAGATTATGAGAGGAGGTGTGAGCAGTAGCAAAACGTTAATGCCAAAGACTCAACTGACATCTCATTAAATACATGAACACCATGAACACCATGTAGACCTGATGAGTGGTAGCCAATGATGGCGCCTCACCCGAATATAGCAAACATCTGAGAGAGGCGTCGTGGTGAGTATCTGTACCCTGGTGGCTGATGGCGCCTCACCTGGATATAGCAAGAACCCTTGCAGCCACACTGACCAACACCACACCGATCACCGATCCAAACTTGTAGGGTAAGAGTTTTCTAGGCAACCGGTGGTTGGCTTTTCCGGAGGACCTTGGTCTTTTCCGGAGGACCTTGAGGATGTTCAACATGCTAGTAGCCCCTAGATCAAACTGAGCAACGATGATGCTGTGAGAAGTCAAGTTATTTGATCCAAGGCTACCCAAGTTCTGGCTATCCGTCATCCGTTAGTCTATGCACAGCACTGTTACTGATTTGAGAAGGAGCTAATATTTGAAGTTCCGGCTATCCGTCACTTACAGCCGCATTCCTCACTTGGGCGTTTGCGTGGTATCCTCCCTAACTCCAAGCTCAACAAAGCTCAACGGATGCAGAATGTCCAAGTCTATTGCTGGAGGGGAGATAGGGAATCCAGGAGAACCGTGTTGCTGCGGCCACGTAAATCTGCGTTCTTCATCCTCAGTTACCCTGGAACTAAAAGCCTTAAGTATTTTTGCGTTTCACCTACTACTACTCACTGGTTGACTATGCCTAACCAATACAAACCGACCTGTACGTGCTTTATCTCAGTTTCCAAGTTTCTGTTGAGAATCTACTTTACTAGCGCCTCTCGACGAGATTGCACCCCATATACTTCGCTTATGGAAGGCATGTCTGACAGATAAACAGATCGTGGACGCCTTACAGAAACATATCGACACTGAACGTTTTGGAATAGGGTAAGTACTAATCACGCCCATTACTCTGTCAGGACACTTACATGCAATATGGTGCTACTGGCTCAAGCCTCACCAAATTTGTGCAGGTTCGTATTGGAATGGGCCTTCAACGAACTCGTCAGCAAGGGCATAGCATCGAATCTATTCGCGAAGCTATGCTTGAGCTACGACCAATATATCCCAATGCCGGAGCGAGGGAAATGATCAGTCTACTGTTCCATGAAAAGGGCATGTGCATAGCCAGGTATAGTCCGATGTTTCTTTGGCTGGGTCTGCAATTTCTGACATACATCTTCCACAGGACCGTCATACGAGCATACTTTGCTACTTACGAGCCCGAACTTGTTCGTGAGCGGAAAGCACGACGTCTGAAGAGGAAACGTTTTTGGGCTGCGGGGGTCAACGATTTATTTGCTGTAGATCAGCATGATAAATGGCTAAGATTTGGCCTCGCTCTTCATACTGGAATCGGAGCCCCTTCAGTGACAAATTCCGTATTATACGGGCCACCCGACCTACATAATATCCCGTATGAGACGGGCCAGCGGATTATGGGCCCATGTTGTGTATATTCTCGATGATGACAGATGGGCCGGGACACATATTATTTCCGATGGAGACGGGTGGGCCCATGTATGCCAATGATATATATATCCTTGATGTTGACGGATGGGCCGGGGGAATATGATCATTCATGGAGATGGGTGGGCCCATCAGGGTAATATGTAGAGTAGGATATTATAGACAGCTGGGCTGAAGAGAGATGTAAGGCAAATATTGTTATATAGACGGGCGGGCCGACGGGGGTGTATTACATATATGGGTGGGCCGAGGTAGGGGAATATTACATAGATGGGTGGGCTGACGCGGGGTGTATTACATATACAGGTGGGCCGACATAAAAAGTATTACATATACGGGTGGGCCGACGAAAGGGATATCAAATAGACGGGTGGGCCAAGGGTGTGATAAAATATTTATTACATAGACAGGTGGGCCGAGGTGGGGTATAATTATATAGACGGGTGGGCCAACATAGGATGTATTACATAGACGGGTGGGCCGACGTGGGGGATAATACATAGATGGGTGGGCTGATGTGGGGGAATTGTACATAGATGGGTACATATATGGGTGAGCCTAGATATGTATAAATGTCAAATTTTCAGTGCAAAACCCCAAACCGAGATTTACCAACCCCCGAACCCCGAAATTGTGGACTGCCGGGTCTCGGGTTTTGGGGTTCGGGGGTCCCGGAACTCGGAACTCAGTATGTGAGACAACAAAAATATATTTCAAACACGGGTAAGTCAATGTGTTTGTCAATCAACTTGATTGTAAATTATATTTTATTGATCTCCCCAAATTTCCCAAGTTCCGAGTTCCGAGCTCCGGGACCCCCGAACCCCGAAACCCGGCAGTCCACAATTTCGGGGTTCGGGAGTTGGTAAAATGTGTATGGATAGATGAAAGGTTGATTTAAACATTTTTGAAAGATGTCCCATATGAAATGTTAAGTCCCGAGTTTTGAACTCCGGGTTTCGGGACTCCGGGTTTCGGGACTTCGGGCTTCGGGACTCGGCACTCCAGAAACCCGGAAATCGAAACTTGGGACTTGACATTTCATATGGGATATCTTTCAAAAATGTTTAAATTAACCTTTCATCTATCCATACACATTTTACCAACTCCCGAACCCCGAAATTGTGGACTGCCGGGTGTCGGGTTTCGGGGTTCGGGGGTCCCGGAGCTCGGAACTCGGAACTTGGGAAATTTGGGGAGATCAATAAAATATAATTTACAATCAAGTTGATTGACAAACACATTGACTTACCCGTGTTTGAAATATATTTTTGTTGTCTCACATACCGAGTTCCGAGTTCCGGGACCCCCGAACCCCGAAACCCGGGACCCGGCAGTCCACAATTTCAGGGTTCGGGGGTTGGTAAAATGTTTATGGATATATGAAAGGTTGATTCAAACATGTTTGAAAGATGTCTTTCATCTCAAAAATCGAGTCCCAAGTTCCGGGTAAGACATCTTTCAAACATGTTTGAATCAACCTTTTGTATATCCATAGACATTTTACCACCCCCAAACCCCGAAATTGTGGACTGCCGGGTCTCGGGTTTCGGGGTTCGGGGGTCCCGGAACTCGGGACTCAATATGTGAGACAACACAGATATCTTTCAAAAGTTTGTAAATCAATTTGTTTGTAAATCAAATTTATTGTAGATCAAATTTTATTGATCTCCCCAAATTTCCCAAGTCCCGAGCGCCGACCCCCGACCCCGAGACCCGGCAGTCCACAATTTCGGGGTTCGGGGGTCCCGGAACTCGGGACTCAATATGTGAGACAACACAGATATCTTTCAAAAGTTTGTAAATCAATTTGTTTGTAAATCAAATTTATTGTAGATCACCCCCGAACCCCGAAATTGTGGACTGCCGGGTCTCGGGGTTCGGGGTTCGGGGGTCCCGGAACTCGGGACTCGATATGTGAGACGACATATCTTTCAAAAGTTTGTAAATCAATTTGTTTGTAAATCAAATTTATTGTAGATCAAATTTTATTGATCTCCCCAAATTTCCCAAGTCCCGAGCACCGACCCCCAACCCCCGAGACCTGGCAGTCCACAATTTCGGGGTTCGGGAGTTGGTAAAATGTTTATGGATATATGAAAGGTTGATTCAAACATGTTTGAAAAATGTCTTTCATCTCAAAAATCGAGTCCCGAGTTCCGAATTAGTGCCAAAGCTTGAAACTTGAAATCAGTGGAAAATGAAATCTCGCAACAATGTACACATGAAGATGTTTTATTTCCTTTGACAATTCACCGAGTGTCTTGTACTAACCTGACAACACAGTCCCGGCTTCAGGCTTCAGGGCTCGGTACACGACACTCGGGGAATTGTGAAATTTCTATTTCCTTGAACATTTCACTGAGTTCCGAGGTCCGGGCGCCGAATTCCGAGTTCCGAGCTCCGAGTGCCGAGTGCCGAAGCTCAAAACTTGAAATCAGTGGAAAACGAAATCTTGCAACAATGTACACATGAAAATGTTTTATTTCCTTTGACAATTCACTGAGTGTCTTGTACTAACTCAGGGAATTGTGAAATTTCTATTTCCTTAGACATTTCACTGAGTTCTGAGTTCCGAGCGCCGAGTTCCGAGTTCCGAGTGCCGGATGCTGAGTGCTGAAGCTTGGAACTTGAAATCAGTGGAAAACAAAATCTCGCGACAATGTACACATGAAAATGTTTCATTTCATTTGACAATTCACCGAGTGTCTTGTACTAACCTGACAACACAGTCCGGGCTTCAGGCTTTGGGTTTCGGGGCTCGGTACATGACACTCGGGGAATTGTTTATGGAAATGAAACATGTTCATGTGTACATTGTTGCGAGATTTCATTTTCCACCGATTTCAAGTTTCAAGCTTAGGCACTCAGCCACTGGTCGGTAGTCAATATAGGCAAATGGTAATGAAAAATGAAAGTTGTTATTACGCTTAACTTCCTTACCGAAGGTTGTAGTCCGAGTCTAGGGGAGTGTATTGGTAGTCTTTTCTTGTCCATCAGTTATCATTTAACCGAGATATAAGCTAAAGAAATCTGAAACATCGGCAATAATGAAAAATGAAAGTTATTATTATGTTTAAGTTCCTGAACAAAAGTTGTAGTTCCGAGCCAAGGTGAGTGTATTGGTAGTTTTTTCTTGTCAATTGGTTATCTCGTTACTCGGTACTCGGTACAAGGGAATCAGTACTTGGTATTTGGTTCTGATACTTGATACCCGAGAATCAGTAGTGGGGTACTCGGTACTCGGTTCTGATACTTGGTACCCAAGAATCAGTAGTCAGGTACTCAGTACTTGGTTCTAATTCTCGGTACCTGTGAATCAATAGTTGGGTACTCCAGCCAATAGTCCCGAGTCCCGAGTACTGATACTTGGTATTCAGTAGTCAGGTTTGGAACTTGGGTCTTGGTTTGGTTATCATTTGACTGAGATATTGGTAGGCAATATTGGCACTCGGAGCTCGAATACTGACTATCAACTATCAAGTGTCGGGACTTGGTAATCGGTAGTTGAGACTTGGTGCTTGAATGGATATTGCATATATACATAAAAATACAAAATATGTTCCTATGTGTTCATTTCTAGGTGAATAGTATCTCAATCATCTATTCAACAATAGAAACAATGTATCAGGAGCTCAGGACCATAGGGTAATCCTTTATTGTATAGTGTACCTCCCCCTCTTCTGGTGGTTCACCTGCTGGGGTTTTTTCCCTGTAGGACTGGACCTCAAGGACTGTAGGGAGTCTATTCCTGAGCATATTCGGAGTAGATATATCATATAACCAGCCCAGGACACACAGGATCCTTTTCCAGGAACAAAGCATAGACAATTGCACTTGTGATATTTTTTCACGATTTTCAGTATCTTGCCCTTGCATCCATGATCCAACCTTTTAATATATAATGAGCATAGCTTATATTCTTGCTTCTTATGACCAAGATCAGCTCACAATAGGCTGGAGTTTGTGAGCTAGTGTGTATACTTGCCATTTCGCCTGATAAGGGGCCCATGCCTTCAAAACATTGAATCTTCATAATCAGAAACCTGGGGTACATTTCAAATATCTTAAGTATCATAGACATAAATTTACAGACAAATCAACCAAGAATTGAGTACTGAGGAAGTGAAATGGGTAAGAAATTGAGTGTGGGAAACTTCAAAGACCCAAAGCATCGAAAATGGTTAGTTGAGCAGTGGTAGGACTTTAATGCTGGGTCAACTCATATTTTCACTATATCCCTTCTACCCACCCCCTACCCTCAGGGCAGTAGGCAGTATGGGTTCCTTGGGTAGTTTACGATCTATCCTACATATTTGTAATGATATTTTTGGCCTGAATCATATATAAATGTGACTTTGTATAAAAGATGTCTATTGTCACTCTCCACACATATGTCATTTTGCCTATCATTACATCAATCCTTCATGAATCTTTCTAAGCTTTTAAGCTATTATAATGGATGTATATGGGTGTTATTCCAGGTCTCTGATCACATCACAGGCTTGTTATGTTGGATATCTCGACATAATGTGCAAGTCTCGCTATTAATATTCATTCTTTTATCTTTAGACTCACTTACTGCACACATGTATTTCATTTGTCATTATTGATGTTTCGGATTTCTTTAGCTTATATCTCGGTCACATGGTAACCAATGGACGAGAAAAGACTACAAATAAACTCACCTAGACTCGGACTACAACCTTCATTAAGCTGACTACTGATTCCCGGGTACCGAGTATCAAAACCAAATACTGAGTACCAATTACCATGTACCGAGTACTGCGTAATGAGTAACAAGATAACCAATTGACAAGAAAAGACTATCACTACACTCACCTGGACTTGGACTACAACCTTCGGTAAGGAAGTTAAGCATAATAACAACTTTCATTTTTTCATTATTGCTGATGTTTTGCCGAATGACAAGGAAAGACTACCAAGACACTCACCTTGACGTGGACTACAACTGTCATTTTTCATTATCATTTGCCTATATTGACTACTGAGTCTCGAGTACCGACCACTGACCACCAATCACTGAGTACCGAGTACCGAGTGCTGACAAATACAATTCCCAAGTTATTTGAACCCTACACCAATGGATAATACATACAAATACAATTCGTGTCCATTTGAAGTACCGGGTTTCAGGTTTCGACACTCGACACTTGGTGATTTGTGCAATGAGTGAAAAATGGACATGTTGTGTACATGATTTTGGGTTTAGGGCTTCGGGTTTCGGCCCTCGGCACTCGGAACTCGATGATCTGTGTAATGTAAATGAACAATGAACATGTTGCACACCAGGTTTCGAGTTTTGGGTTTCAGCACTTGAAACTCAGTGATTTGTGCAACAAGTGAAAAATGGAAATGTTATATACATATTTTCGGGTCTCGGGCTTCGGGTTTCGGCACTTGGCACTCGGCACTTGGTTATTTGTGTGATATAAATGAAAAATCAACATGTTGCACACTGGGTTTCAAGTTTCACGCTTTGGCACTCGAAACTCGGTGATTTGTGCAGTGAGTGAAAAATGGACATGTTGTGTACATATTTTCGGGTCTCGGGCTTCGGGTCTCAGCCCTCGGCACTCGGAACTCGATGATTTGTGTGATATAAATGAAAAATCAACATGTTGCACACTGGGTTTTAAGTTTCACGCTTTGGCAGAACTCGAAGCTGTTGATTTAGATATCACCCGAAACCCGAACACCTGAATGTCAAATTTTCAGTGCCGAACCCCGAACCCCGAGTGCCGGTGCCGGGTGCCAAGTCCCGAAGCCCGGAACTCAGGATTTGACATTTGAGACGAATGAAAATTTTCAGACATGTTTGAATTAACCTACATATATCTATAAACATTTCACTAACCCCCGAACCCCGAAAGATATTTTTGTTGTCTTACATACCGAGTTCCGAGTTCCGGGACCCCCGAACCCCGAAACCCGGCAGTCCACAATTTCGGGGTTCGGGGGTTGGTAAAATGTGTATGGATATATGAAAGGTTGATTTAAAACCCCCAAACCCCGAAATTGTGGACTGTGTGCAGTGAGCAAAAAATGGACATGTTGTGCACATATTTTCGGGGTTCGGGGTTCGGGTTTCGGCCCTCGGCCCTCGGAACTCAATGACTTGTGTAATATAATTGAAAAATGGACATGTTGCACACCCGGTTTTGAGTTTTGGGTTTCGGCACTTGAAACTCGGTGATTTGTGCAACAAGTGACAAATGGACATGTTGCATACATATTTTCGGGTCTCGGGCTTCGGGTCTCGGCCCTCGGCACTCGGAACTCGATGATTTGTGTAATATAAATGAAAAATGGACATGTTGCACACCGGGTTTCGAGTTTCAGGTTTTGGCACTCAAAACTCGGTGATTTGTGCAATAAGTGAAAAATGGACATGTTGCGCACATATTTTCGGGGTTCGGGGTTTGGGTCTCGGCCCTCGGCACTCGGAACTCGATGATTTGTGTAATGTAAATGAAAAATGGACATGTTGCATGCTGGGTTTCGAGTTTTGGGTTTCGGCACTCAAAACTCGGTGATTTGTGCAATGAGTGAAAAATGGACATGTTGTGTACATATTTTCGGGGTTCGGGGTTCGGGTTTCGGCCCTCGGCCCTCGGAACTCAATGACTTGTGTAATATAATTGAAAAATGGACATGTTGCACACCCGGTTTTGAGTTTTGAGTTTTGGCACTTGAAACTCGGTGATTTGTGCAACAAGTGAAAAATGGACATGTTGCATACATATTTTCGGGGTTCGGGGTTCGGGTCTCGGCCCTCGGCACTCGGAACTTGATGATTTGTGTGATATAAATGAAAAATCAACATGTTGCACACTGGGTTTCAAGTTTCACGCTTTGGCACTCGAAACTTGGTGATTTGTGCAGTGAGTGAAAAATGGACATGTTGTGTACATATTTTCGGGTCTCGGGCTTCGGGTTTCGGCACTCGGCACTCGGAACTCGATGATCTGTGTAATGTAAATGAACAATGAACATATTGCACACCCGGTTTTGAGTTTCGGGTTTCGGCACTTGAAACTCAGTGATTTGTGCAACAAGTGAAAAATGGAAATGTTGCATACATATTTTCGGGTCTCGGGCTTCGGGTTTCGGCACTTGGCACTTGGCACTTGGTTATTTGTGTGATATAAATGAAAAATCAACATGTTGCACACTGGGTTTCAAGTTTCATGCTTTGGCACTCGAAACTCAGTGATTTGTGCAGTGAGTGAAAAATGGACATGTTGCGCACATATTTTCGGGGTCCGGGGTTTGGATTTCGTTTCTCGGAACTCGGAACTCGATGACTTGTGTAATATAATTGAACAATGGACATGATGCACACTGGGTTTCGAGTTTCGGGTTTCGGCACTCGAAACTCGGTGATATGTGCAATGAGTAAGAAATGGACATGTTCCATACATATTTTCGGGTTTCGGCGCTCAACACTCGGAACTCGATGATCTGTGTAATGTAAATGAACAATCGATGTGTTGCACACCGGGTTTTGAGTTTTGGGTTTCGGCACTCGAAACTCGGTGATTTGTGCAGTGAGTGAAAAATGGACATGTTGAACAATGGGTTTCAGGGTCTCGGGTTTGAAAAATAGCATAATAACAACTTTCATGTTTTCATTATCATTTGCCTATATTGACTACCGAGTCCGATAAGGGACCCCTTGGATGATCCATTGCTCAATGAAATACTACCTGATTGGAAGTGTGCTGGTTATCAGATATTCATTTGTCGACTCCCGGGTCCTGGAACTCAGAAGTCGGTACGGTTGACCCAAATTTGGGTGGTCGGAACTTGGTGTCTCGTAGGGCAACACAAGCTTTGCACCCCGGATTCCAAATTCTGCAAGACAACCTGTGCACCATCAAAGGCCATGTCAGGAGATCACCTGCTGCTCCGGGAACTCGGTAACTTTGATTTATTACCTCCTCTGATTTGGTTGATGTACAACTACCTCAGCTCCATCATGTCTACAATTATGATACACATGGGCCCACCCATCTATATTTTATACCACCCTCGGCCCACCCATCTAATACAACATCCCATACAACACCCTCGGCCCACCCGTCTAATTAATATGCGTCTGGGCCTACCCGTCTAATACAATATTTTATAATACCCTCGGCCCACCCGTCTAATTTAATATGTGTCTGGGCCCACCCGTGAATGTGATAACAAGTACCTACCCATCTATCTCATACACATCTACCTTAATACACCCATCTGCATAATATCCAACTACCTCGGCCCACCCGTCTACCTAATATTCATATACATCGGCCCACTCATCTACTCTATATATTCCCTGCATGGGCCCACCCGCCTCCATCGGGAATAATTTGCCTCCCGGCCCATCCGTTATAGTCGAGGATATTTTTATCATGGGCCCATGGTCCGCTGGCCCGTATCATATGGAATATTATGCATGTCCGTTCCCTCGTATTATACGGAGATAGGTCACTGTAATATGTGCCACCTACTCAGTCCTCGCTGCCCGGTGTTCTGTGCTCGGTACTCGGTACTCGGTACTCAGTACTAGGTGCTCGGTGCCCGGTGATCGGGGTTCGGGGTTCGGAACTCGGGGTTCAGAACTCGGGGTTCGGTACTCGGGCCTTGGTACTGGAGATTTGGGATTTAAGATTAGGTCGTTAGTACTTTGACATATACACAATAGCACATATGACATTACACATGACGGCAGGAAGATATATCTACATTAAGTGCGTCCCCGTGCTCTGGTTACTCTAGGTGTACTGTCTACTGGCATTTGCAACTTACTCCGGGTTGTCCTCGTGGATGGTTCAACTGTGACTTTCTTGCCCCGCCCCCTTTTCTGTGCCGGCGGCGTGATACTCTCTTCCATTTCAACATCCTCTCTAACTTCTCTGGTCGCGTCTTCAGTTAACCCAGCAAGGAGGTCGCCCATTCTTGATGTCAGTAATGCACCTTTTTTGGCCGGCTTGGCCCGGCGAGGCTTTGGAATTGCACGTGGGACTGCCGTCCCTTTTGGTGTAGGACCTCCCGTCCTGGGTTTCATCAGCGGATGTCTCCCGTCAGCCAGGTCATCATCCACATCATCCTCCGTATGATTAGTGGCACTCTCCTTATCACTCTCGGCTTCTGTCGACGAATCCCGAGGCCCTCGGATGGTAACCCTCTGCTGCTTTCTCACTATACTAGTCTGAGGAGAGGGCGACTTGCCAGATATGACAGATGGTACCATGTCCCCATCTTTGTTCTTCCATGCTTTGAACAGAAATGTGGGACCTTCTCCTGTTTCCTGCTGAGCATGCCAGAAATGGAGCAAGGCAGTCGTGTCCCAATTTTGCAGCTTTGAAGGCTCCTTCAAGTCAACATCTGCCGGAAGATACGTCCGGGCCACGAAGTCATCCTGACTTTGTACAATGGCACTCCATGGTACAACCGCCTTGTCCTTCCCGGAACATATCCCTGTGTCCATGCATTGAACAATTTGTCAGATGATGCAACGAGAAACTCACGATAGTGCGATGTAAGAAAGGCCCTCACTATGGCCTTCTTCTCCTCAAGTTTCGTGTCGGTGATGTCGGGAAGGAGTGGCATACCCTCCCCGTCCATTTCGAGTTCGAAAGCTGGTTTTCGAATTCTTTTTCGACCTCCCTTGACCTGACGTCCTCCATCCCATGCCCCGGCACCTATCATCGTGATGCTCAACATGTTCAATCTGGTATACATGGTTCAAACACTCACCGAACTGTTCCTGCGCGTACTCCTGCCACACTGGCTCAATGTCCTCCCAGTCCTTCGTCTTCATGAAGCTGTCCCTGTCTCCTAAGGCCTCGTTATCATCATGCCTGCATGAATATTTTCAGATGAAAGATCCATGTCAATGGGTAAATGTACTCACATCCCGAACAGCACCTCTCCCTTTTCATTCTTCCAAGCCGACATCACAAAAACTCTCATCCCACATTGCCTCCACATCTCGTTCGAAAAGTGCTCCATATATGCCGGACCCTTCTTACGGGCGACTTGTGCTTGTATCTCCGGAGGCGGACAGTTGTTGGACCACTCTTCCGCTGTTTCTTTCGCCTTCTCCAACTCGTCGTCGTCCAATTCAGCCATGACTCTCTTCACCACCGCCTGATAATGTTTGAACATACCAGGATCTCCGGGCTTTACCCCCGACTCGTCCTCAATCCTCTTCAGCACCTCTTCGCGTTTCTGCTGGTAGACCACCATCCTGGGCGTCCATTTCCTCCCATACTTGATGGTGTCCTTCCTTTCCTTCTTTTTCTTGTTGTTGAACAACCAAGTCTTGTACACCTAAGATTTGATGAAAAAATGTGATGTTGAAAATTTAGTTTTTCAACGCAACAAAGGAGCATCACCTGCTTCCTCTTTTTCCATTGTTTTTGGTCCACCTTAGGAGCAAACAACCTGGCCGCCCTTGCTATGGCAGTGAAAATCCCCCTCTTCTCACTCCTTTTGGCGGCAGTCCACTCAGGAAGGTAGTTCTTCAACTCCAAAATCTCCTTGTCTGTGAGCTTCTGAGACTGTGGTTGACGCGCCCTGTGTCTTCCGGAAGTCGTGTTGGTGGAATGACCTGTTCTTGCCATAGTGAATCAGAATGCAGAACGGGCTGAGGATTTGCAAGGTAGAAGTATTAATGAATTGTGCGAAGTTGAACTTCGAGCAAAGCCTAATAATCTGTTAATCGGCCCATATTTGACAAGAATCCATTAATGGAAATGAATTTGTAATGAGCCAACAGGACTGCACAGCATCATATTGCAATAACAATTCATTACACCTGAGCTGATGCCTTGCTTGCAACATTAGTAAACAAGATGAAGATAGGTAGATGCACCCCAGTGCAAAAATCTCACAGGGTGGAAGCAAGGGGCAGCAAAGGTAGGAAGACTTGGGTCAAGGTCCCACTTGCAAGCACGAGGCGACATGCCTACAGGTCCATGCCTAACTCTCCCCCAGAATCACCAACAATTCAGCCTGTTGAGGCACCACCTCCTTGGGAAGACTTTCCTGACAATACTTATGAGCAGGACCAAGGCTCCTTTGAGCCTTTGCAACTCCCAAAAACCATGGCAAGTTCATGTACAATGTTGGAGTGTCATTTAAACTATGGCTAAGCATTCAAAAATACAGAGTCAAAATGACTACCTCAGGCAATGGCTGCCAAGGCAGGAATCATATCTACATCACCTCCTTGATCGAGAAGCTC